TGAGCCTGTTTAATGAAGATTCTAATTTACAGGTGATTCTCAATCCATTGCTCCATCACAGCCTCACCCAGCCACTTCTCTCCTCGCTCACACCCCCCCCCCCCTCCCTCTCCACCTCTCCTCCCATGCCACCCCTATCTTCTTGTCATCTCTCCATCCTCCACCTCTCAAGGGTTTAGTCCTCCTTGATGCCTCTCAGCAAAGTCTCAGTGGTGGTGGGCGATATATAGCTCTTGATCCCCCCCACTGTTTTATCTGATGTGGCCCCAGCAGGGCCCTGAGCTGTGCTGACCTTTCCCAGGAGCGCTCCCGTGTCACGTTCATCTGGAGAAACCTCTGGAGAGAGGCTGGTGGAAATATTAAAAGTCTTCCATCATCACAAGCAGCAACAAGCTGACATCTGCGTGTGTGTGTGTGTGGGGACCATAATGGACAAAATCGAGCACTTCTGCCAAGTACAACATATGAAGAAAGATCGCAGTCAAAGGATTGGTTACACTTCCCTCTTGTGGGTGAGGTGAAGTTACTTCGCAGAGAATATCTTTCAGAACACAGCGTTATCTCTAAAACTAATTTCAAAAATGTTGTATTTCTCCCCCTGGTGGTTGTTTGTGAGTAGGGAACATAGACTGAACTATTCTTTTGTTTCTTTTCATTGGTTGTTTTAGTCATGTGACACAGCCAGGTCAAAGGTCAGAGATGACAAACAGGAAATCCTGTTGTCACCAAGTGGCATGTGGTCGGTGTGCAGCTCCAGCCACCTTATCCATCTTTTGTTTGTGTCTTGGAAAAAATAGTTTGTAAGTACAAATACAGTTAACAATTAAGTACTTCTACTCCTACTGTTGGCAGTTTATATACATATACATAATATTGCTAATGTTGAGTTGTGTTGTTTAAATAGCAGAATCCATACTCCGGCCTCTGACTTGAAACCTGTTCGCTATCTGTCGATTCATGTACAGGCAAACATGTCGAGGGCAGAATAGTTATCGTAATTAAGATCACACATACTTTTATAACTCAGGTTATTGAATGTTTGCGTCAACGAAAAGCTTTAGATAGAATCAAATGAGCGACTGAAAGATTACTCACAGTTTCTTTAACTAAAAATCTACAATCATGCTTGTTAGCCAAAACATATCGGAAGACAGACGTAGTTTTACAGTGCATGCATGTATGAGGGCCCAGATTTATAGGTCAGCAGTGAAAATGAGTGCATTAAAAACGGCACGCTGTTTACTGAATATTATCGAGTGCTGGCCATTTAACAATCTTTTGCAATTACATTGCTCACGAATGCATAACGTGGCCCACATGTCTTCCTCCGGGGGCCACATGAGAAATGAAATGTGATAGATGTTCTATATTCCTCCACAAGATCAATTTCATGAGTTACAGTTATGGGATGGCTCATTAAAATGCAAATGTGTTCATTTATAAGAACAACTAATATTATGTCTGTCCTTGAATGTGACTTCTGTCACGGAGCCTTTCATGTCAGCAGCTCTTGTGGCTGCTGTATTTAAAAGGCAAACTGAATAGAGGCAAAACATGGAGCTGCTGTGGGTCAGGCTCAATGCACTTTTAGTTATAATTAATAATAATAATAGTCTCTGGGTTACAGAACAGTTTCATGTAAATGTCTGAGTGAAGAAGAGAACAGTCAATCATCCTTTGCAAATCACGTGTGCCCCCAGAAACTACATCCATGTCCTTGCCAGACCACAGAGATGAGCGAACCCGAGGACTGATGTAACAAGGTTAGTTGTGACTGTTATGTCAAGGCAACGTAAAGGTATGAAGAGAACAGTGTCTAATATATTTTATACTGTCTGTTTCAATATAAGAATCAGTATTAGTACTGTGATTGTGCTCTTAGTTGCCAACGCTCATTTTATTGTGCGGCTGAGATGTTTTCTTTTTATGTGCGAACAAAGTGTCTCTGTGTATTTCGTTTTCTCATTGAGTCTACTATGAAGCAAGTTAGCTTAGAATAAAGACTGTAAATGGGAGGGGTAGCATGGTTCTAGCTAGGTGATGAAATGTGACTACTAATGCTTGTTTTGACTTGTACAAAAACCAAAGTGAAAAAAGACAGTTTGCCATTTAGCTAGAAGTTATGTACCCAACATTTTTTAAGACTATTTATTGTCTTAAACCACTGCTCTTGTTTTGTGTAATGGACCTGTCGTCCTATCGACCTGTCGTCGCTTGAGGAGGTTTTTTATATTGTGTTTGTGTAACATTTGCTAATCCACATTATGATTTTCAATAAGAAGTCACCACCTGTAACATGAAGTTATTTTGTGGTGAAGCATGTTGTATCATATGCAAACGTATCCCTAGATTCACCTCCCTCCAGCCACAGACTCTGTAATTCAGATGTGTCTCCCACTATCTCCCTGTTAACTTATTGATGACGTCCTCCTGTGTATTATGGTTCGTCTTTACCTGAAGGCCACAGGCACAGGTGCTCTGCTCCACAGTTGCTGGTGTGTCTGAACTCTTGGATGGCTGAGGAAACTAGATTATGATAGTTTGTGCCTCAGACCCCTCGGGACCAAATGGAATAAAAAGATGAAGTAAAGAAATCCTCTCTTCACTATATCCTACATTGTATTTCTGGGAAAGTTCCTGAAACAGAATATTGCTGACCACATGTTTTGAAAAAAAAACATGAAGACAGGATAATATTTCATGAATAAAAGCAATTCAACATGCTGTATGCATTGTAAAAAAAGAAAAGAAAAAAAAAAGATGATGAAGCAAGACTAGAAAAATAACTTGCCACTGCCAGCTCCATTATGCCCCCTCATGGTTTTCATTAATAACACATTGAAGTGGAAGGTGTGCTTAGCCTCTTGAATGTTTGGGATGTGGAAATGTAATAGCCTTGTGTGCATTGCTCAGACACACACACATACAGAGCTCACGCAAACAATACACACGTGCATAGACAAATGTTTTTGCTTTCACCACGATGTGATTACTGAGCATCTTTAGGTGCAGTTGCAGGCGTGTGGTGAGATGGAGCCATAAATCTCTAGCAGGGAGACTGAATCTGCAAAACATTTACTGTAAGAACACCACGGCTTTTGGCTGGGAGATGATTTTTTAAACTACTAATGTGCTGTTAGACAGGAATTCTTAACATTTAGTATTGATTTTCCATTCAAGGCTTGTGAGATTTGGGTAAGTAAGTAAGACGACCATAGATGAAAAGATTTTAGCTAAACTTACTGATGAGAGACTTCGGAGTTGGTAAGAAATTACAGGCATCTGCATGGGGAGGTAAATTATCACAACCTCCGACACATGTATTGTCAGAAACATATCTCTGTGCTGCCCCCTAGTGAAAGTATTGTTAAACAACCGTACATGAAGAACACATGGGAGTATGTGGACAGTGATTGTTACATTATTTGCATAAATGAGACTTAAGGGTATTTTTGACAGTTTTAGAAATTAGGTTTCTTGCCTCTGCTGCAATAAATGTGAAGCTACCATGTGCATGGTTAGCTTAGCATAAAGCTAGAGACTGCTAGCCTGGCTGTGTCCAACATTACCAAACTCTGCCTACCAGCATCTTTAAAGCGCACTAGTTAGCATGTTTTATCTTGTTTGCATAAAAACAACATTTAGTATTTATTATAATAGTTTCCCCTTATCTCAATGCTAAGCTATGCTAAACCAACCAACCAACTGCTGTAGCTTCTAAACAATCACAAGTGTTGTGTCAATCTGCTCATTCAACACTCAACAACAAAGAGATGAGACATATTTCACAAAATGTTAAACTGTTTCCTTAAGATTGTACTTGAAGTCATGATTGTAGTTTTTTTTATCGATGCAGGCAAAGTCCCTTGACACAGTCATTTGAAATGTGCATTGAAAATGAAAAGAAATGGTGTCGTTTAACATGTGTGAAATCTGCTGAATCCTAATTTTGCAATCTGTCACTGCCAACAATAATTCTGTCGACAGTACAAAATGTACAGATGAATCATTCGGGCACGGTGTCTCAATGATTTCATCCGTCCTGCTCTGCTGTCCGTCACACTCTGCCCTTCTGCTTTTAACATTATTTTGTTATATATATATCTTTCTGACGCCTGACACCTTCCATGCCTCCTGAGTGAGTTTCTTTGTCTTTGCGACTCACTGTGAGCTGTGGAAACTGTCAAAGACGAGTTCCCATGACAACTTCCATCCGGCATTAACAGCATGAAGTGTCGGGGAATATCCAAGTGTATTTGTAATGGATAGCGGATGTGAGTGGAAGCAATTTGTAAAGTTAATTGAAACTTGGACATACGTATGTGGGTGAAAGGTGATCCCTGATATTGCCACTATAGAGAATCGTATTATTTGTATTCATATGCATTGTTTCACAAGAGCCAGATCAACACAAATCTAAATGAACCCCAACCAACTTTTGTTCTCCAAATATTTCAAGGACTTCTACAACTGTTGCTATGCTACAAGAATTTCATCATTGAAATCCCCAAGAATTCATAGTGACCTAAAAAAATTCACATTTTACGCAAGCAATGGTGACTGTGTATGACATGACGGTTTGCCTCAATGAGGTAATCATCTACAGTTTGATTTAGCAAAGGTCAGAGTAATGGTGGTGTGTTGTCATGAAATAAATCATGTTGTGACTTGTCTGTGCAAGAAGCCTGAAGTTGTCACTCCCACATATCTACCTGTCTTTCTCATCTACTGTGGGTGTTCTCACTCTTTAACCTCTCTAATCCACACTATTCAAGCTGCTCCATCTCAGTCTTCAAATCTCAGTAGAAGTGTGAACTCTCGTATCTGTTAAGGATTTCCAGGCCTCAAAAATATCCTGAACGTATTTCTTAAGCATTTTTCTTTCACACATAACTCCTGCAAGACCAGGACACATCTGCAAAGCTGCAGTTTTGAGATACAATCTAACTGAAACTCCAATTTATAAATCTTCCCTTCAGGGATGTGAACCTCTATTTCATATATGTCAAACGAAATTAATCTCTGGCCGCTCTTCCCTCATCTGTGTCTGCTGCTTTCTCTCTCCGACACATGAAATACAGCAGGAAGAATTATGGCTTTTTGGTTTTTACTGGATGCCACACACACAC